TTCTAACGCACCACGGCGAAGGCGATGTTTCCGGGCCAGGGTGGGTGGAGGGAGTCTTGCCGTTCTGACTACGAGGTCACTTCGAAATGATGAATGTGGATGTTAATGTGCGGTAATGACCTTCTCCGGCCACTTCTCGGAGGCCTCTCTTCAGGTCCCCCGTGCCCGTAATGTTAGACCTCTGTCAAGCCACCCTACAGAATCCTGTTATGATGAGATTAATGATGGCGATGGTACAGTCCCAACGTCGCCCTCGACCACATTAAATCCCCGCACGATCGCTCTCTTTTGTTCAGCAGGCGTGGAGCGTTGAGTCACCCTGAGAGTTGTTTTTTCTTTTTTTTTGTTAGCCCAGTTTGCAACTCTGCCCAAACTGCAGGTCTCGCCCCAGAGACCGAGCCTGACTCGTGTCCAGCTCTCTCACTTTCTGAGCTATTGCGTCGGCCAACCTCAAGATCAATGGCATTTTTCATTAGCCTGGGAAAGAGAAACCGCCTGTGATTATTGCCAATAAAGGAAATTAGATCAAATGATTTTTGACTTTGATTTTTTTTTCCCTCCCTCTTTTGCCCCACCATCCTTTCACATTTAATCAAACGTGAGGTAAAGTCATCACTGAAATTGCTGTTGATTTATAAATAAGCTAATTGGTGGCATTCTCTTTAAGTACCCCTCTCTGCCGGTGGACACGGCGCAGCTTTTATTGCCTAGTCAAAACCTCCTCGTGTAATTTTCAAAATGGGCCTTGAAATGAAATTTTCCTCAGAGCTTGCGAAGCAGCTCCATCGCTCACGACTCTCCATAAGCACCTTCTTGTCATCTCTTTAGTTTAGCGTTCCTCAGGCCGGCTCTCCTGTCCACATCTGTTGGCTAGGTTATCCATCCAGTAACTCTGTTCTGGTGCTTCTATCAGTGGCTGAGATGGGGCTGTTGAGTGGCTGCTGTTGATGTTTAGTCTTCTGAAGTTGGTAGGAGAACTTGAGGTTTATCATTAAGTAAAAGCGCTGTGTGGAATGTTCCAGTTCAGAATGGCAACCTTGCCTATGTGGTTTCTTTTACCGTATGACATTGTTATCTGTACGAAAAATGAAAAAAATGAAAGTGTCTGCTTCTACTGATTTAGCTATGCGATATGCTGTTGTTGGTTGTTATAGATGGGAGCGTGTCATGCTGTGTCAGAAACCACAGGCAAGTGTAGGCACATGTGGTGGCAAATTTTCAACAACAGTTTGGATTCCTTAACACTGATATGCAATACTGTAAACCTCATTGAAGGGTGAGGGGGGTATTTTAATCATTCAATTGTTTAATACTTTAGTGTTTAAAAAGAATAAACCCATATCTCTGCCTTGGGCTAAGTTGGTGAAACTTCGGTTAAACTACTGACTTGTACTCTCTGTTTATATTTTTATAAGTAAGAATATACCGCTGTGATGTAAGACTTTTATTATATTTTTAATGCCCTATATTCTGAATATATATAAGAAACCAATCTAGAATCTTCTGTCTTGCATGCTGCATATCACTGAACATAAAATATCAACAGCAGAAATTAGAAATTATTACCAAGCTGGGAAGGTGAAGGCTAACACATGCTTAATATTAATAATAATGATAATAATAATAGTAATAATAATAATATATGTAATGTTTACATATGTAGCACCTTTCAAACATTGAAAATGCAGCTCAAAGTGCTTCACAATACAAAGTAAAACCAACAGAGGAAGAAGAGAAAAAAATAATCAAAAATAAAATAAGCAAATAATAAATAGCCAAAAAGGGAGTATATTCATAATAATTACAATTAAAAAGCACAGGTAAAATTATTAATAAAAAACAATAAAAAAAGGACCTAACAAGAAAGTGAAAGCAATATTAACATTCCAGTAAAAAACAATTAAAGTAATAAATAACTAGTTAAACGCTAAAGTAAAGAAATATGTTTTTAACTGTTTTTTAAACATATTCACAGGAGGAGCCTGGCGCATGTTTAGTTATTGTGGTCCAGAATTGTGGTGTATAAAAACAAAGCGCTGTCTGTAAGTTTCATACGTGGAATATTGAGAAGCAGCACTAGATGATCTCAAAGCTCGATTTGGAACAGAATTTATCAGCACTCAGAAATGTATGAAGGTGCTAAACCATTAAGACATTTAAAAACTAGTAAAATTTTATAGTAGATTCTAAAGTATCAGGCAGCCAGTGGAGTGATGCTATAACCGCATCTTTTTAAACAGCCAATAACACATCACCGAACAGCTCAACACGCTTGGAGGAGAATGCTAATTACTCACGGCAGCATTGACTAACATAGTAAAGAGTAAAGAGGGGAAGGAGGATCATAATCGCCCAGAGAGTTTTATGTTTTTTTGCTGAACTTTTGCTGATTATATCCAGGTTACTCAGGTTTTTTGGATGTGAGTGGTGTTTTCTGCGAGTAAATCAGAGTATGTGATTTTCTCTGCATTAACCTGGAACCCACACATGGAAAGAAAAAAAAGAAAAAGGGGTGTCGGCGGTACCACCCAGCAGACTGTGGCGTCTTACTCGAGTCTCAAGTCGGCCATCTGCGCATAACTTAAAGAGGAGTTGGCTTTTACACTGGTGACTTTATGGCTTACTTTGTTTCGAAGTAGATGAGCTCTCCAGGTCCGCTGTATATTGCAAACATATTGTGGGGCACTATGCTAAATTGGTTGCTAGCTCGTCATTGAGCTTTCTGCCACCACGAAAGTTTCCATTTCAGTCCGGCCAAGAAAATGAACTTGATTCTTTTTTGCGAAATTGCCTGGTGTTGTCTAGTAGGAATCAGCTGAGTCGCTAAGACAATGTAGCGCGCTTGCCATCGTCCATGGTTTCTGTGGTATGTATTTGGAACCCGCGGGTTGTGGGATGAAAGGCTGTGAATGAGGAATGGGGAGCTTAGCCGATGTGCAGAAATCCAAGCATGTAACATAATGAAAAACTAGTATATGAGCACTTCAGTTGTTTTGTTTTTTTACTTATACTTTATCCTGATGCTACTATACATCCCACTGTATTTACTGTCTCCTACTAAGATCTTTGATGTTCATTCTCGAGCTCTGAGTGTCGGGCTCATGGCAGTGCCCTCAGTTTTGCACCGCTGCAAAAAATAATAGCGCCTCGGTAAGCATCGGGGGTAATCTTTGCTCTTGAACAGCTAATTGGCCGGAGTCCATTGCACAACCTGCAATTAGGCCTCCCAGCGCTATGGAGGCAGCGTATACGCCGTCTGAGGGAAGCAAGGGGAAAAAAATGACTTTTCTCTGTTTTATGGATTGCTTTTGGCACTGAACTGTACAAAAATGTGACTCATTTTAGCTTCTTTAACTTGTAATAATCATTGCGGTTACAGTGTGCATCGCTCAGACTGCTTGCTGTTCATATTTTAGACTTTGGGAAAGAGCACAGTCACAAAACGCTGTGGTGTAGGAGAAAGAAAAAAGGTCATGTGGGTGTTCATTTGTTAAGTGTGAAAGGAACATTTTATGTTTTACTGTTGACTTTCGTTGCTTTTTTTGCTTGTGTAGTTCAAAGTGCAAGAAGAAAAACAAAACCAAAAAGGTCACTACATGACAAAACGATTCTATTCTGCCTTTTCCAAAGGGTTTCGAGGTTCGTCTTTGATTTGTAATGATATGCTAATGACGTGCTTCAACAGAACGCTCACAATCGCAGTATGTTTATTTGCCTAAACTGCAAGCAACATTGCAAGAAAAAGACATACCTGGGGAATAAAGTCAGTACCCACACATTTTATTCTCATGTTGTGATGTCAGCGGTCAAAGCTTTCAAGATGTTTAAACCACCTTTGGGCCAAAAAGGTGTGCTTTTATAATGTGAAATGCGTTTTTAACGATAGTTTAGAAATGAAAAATCATTATTTAAGCCAAACCGGCTCTTTTACCCAAAGAAGACACTTTGATAAACATCAGGTTTGCAATGAATATTTGACAAAATTTGATTAAATGTTAGAAAATGGAATAGCAATTTGAACAGCTGGTGCTTTTACTTATTTTTATGAGCGCATGTCCTTCCGTGCGGCAGTTTTTATCAGTCTGACGAAAAGCAAAGTTTTCTTTGTGAAGCTAAATGTTAGCAGGTCACCAGTAGCGCACAGTAACAGCACATCTAAAGAGAGCAAGATAATCTACCTGTGTCATGCAAAAAAATGTATGGTTAGCCCCTTTTAATGCCGCTCAAGAAGTCCTTTCCTGTCAAAGTGGGGGTGAATTTTCGGCAGTATTAAGCGATCGAACTGTTGGGGCAGTAATATCATTTTTATCACCAAGTTCAGTCCAAAAGCTTTTCCTGCTGCCTTGAATTGCTAGCTAGAGCTAGCATGCTCTCCGCTGCATTTATTTCTGAGAATAAAGGACAGCATGCTATCTAGAAACTTATTTACACTGCACCAGCTATTAAGACTAACAGAGCTGAGATTACAGTCTTAGCAACCTGGTCAGGGTTGCCAGATGGAGTAAGATCCCTCGTAATAGCATTTTATGCTTCTTACTATGACAGTAATGGTTTATTAGAGATGTTTTTCCATTACCTTGTAGTATTTCAAGTTTCATTAATAAATAATAATACCAATAATATAAATACTGTAATAATGATTAAAAACAGTGTGATTAAGTAGCTCGAGCCTTCCTCATTTTTGTAGACTATTCAAGAGAATGTTCAAAAATGAAAATATTTGAGCCATAGTGAACAAAAAAAGCCGAGTATTGAAAATAAAATCTTCTAGTACAGTGTTACTCTGTATGCTCTTGTTTCTGTCGTACACAAAAAAGCCCAGCAGCCCACGTTGACAAGAAGTGGAGCTGTATGCTTGTCATTATGTAATGCATGTCTGTCAGGAAAAACTTTAATGTAAACATTGCCCTGCCTGGAGTTTTTTAAGCTGCTATTTTATGCCACGATTTCTCTGGCCTGACCTAGATCTCTTCTTATTCCCTCCTCAATTACCTCTCTAGATTCCTGCCCGAACACAAGCTCCAGCTACAGCAAACCCAGGCGCTGCATACCAGCAGCTCTCAGGATTCCCCAGACCTCTCTGAGATAACAAAAGCAAGGTAAATGGCAAAGTAATGACATGTAATCATGTGCATAATATATAATTACTGTTTTAACCAAACATAGATTCCAGAAAGTAGAGCTACACCATATGGGCTAAGTACTACATTATACCACAATTATAGTGCTACATTTCACAATTGCGAAATGCATTAAAAGTATATACACAGATAAGGCATAACATTATGACCACCTCTTTGTTTCTACGCTCATTGTCCATTTTATCAGCTCCACTTACTATATAGGTGCACTTTGTAGTTCTACAATTACAGACTGTAGTCCATCTGTTTCTCTGCATACTTTGTTAGCCCCCTTTTACCCTGTTCTTCAGAGGTCAGGACCCCATGGATCCTCACAGAGCAGGTACTGTTTGTGGTGGTGGATCATTCTCAGCACTGCAGTAACACTGACGTGGTGGTGGTGTGTTAGTGTGTGTTGTGCTGGTCTGAGTGGATCAGACACAGCAGCGCTGCTGGAGTTTTTAAAGACCTCAGTGTCACTGCTGGACTGAGAATAGTCCACCAACCAAAAATATCCAGCCAACAGCGTCCTGTGACCACTGATGAAGGACTAGAGGATGACCAACACAAACTGTGCAGCAGCAGATGAGCTATCGTCTCTGACTTTACATCAAGGCGGACTGACAAGGTAGGAGTGTCTAATAGAGTGGACAGTGAGCGGACACGGTGTTTAAAACTCCAGCAGCACTGCTGTGTCTGATCCACTCAGACCAGCACAACACACACTAACACACCACCACCACGTGCAGTGGTGAGAATGATCCACCACCACAAACAGATGGACAGTCTGTAATTGTAGAACTACAAAGTGCACCTATATAGTAAGTGGAGCTGATAAAATGGACAATGAGCATAGAAACAAGGAGGTGGTCATAATGTTATGCCTGATCGGTGTGTATATTTTAAAAAGCATAGGTGAACGCTTAATGTGACTTGATGTGGTTAAAAATTGTGTTATTTTTGACCAAAATTATTTTACATTTGTTGATTCATCCAAACATGCATAGAAAAACTCATTTTAATTTGTTAGAGAGCTCATTTGCATATTGCAGCTTTTTGCTATATCTGTATTGCAAATAGAGTTTGCTAGTATGACAATATTTATCATTATCATGATAAAGTACATCACAGTATGTAGAGCATATTGTGGATACTGTCAGCACTTAAAACACCTTACTGCATGTTTTATTACAAAGAGAGTCCTGTTAATCCTGTTTAATTGGATTTAGTGCAGCACAGTGTGGAAAATGTCGAATACAAAATTGAATTTATAGTTTTTGTTATTATTATTTTATATTTTAAAACATGGGCTTACTTTGTCTCCTTTAACTAGGGATGCACCAGTCCATAGACCAGTCCATCAGACCATACTGAGTAACCTACTAAGTATTAAGTAGTTATTAGTGTAAATGGGTGCAACGTACCAATGGTTAAATTAAAATCCAGCTGATATTAAATAAAGTGCATTAGCTGGCTATGCTATATTATGCTATATATGCTGCAGTGGAGCGCTACTCAATCCAAGAGCGGATTTTGTTCCACATCAGAAAAGCACTTCTGTTCAGCTGTAGTTTTGCTCCTCATCTGTGTCAACATCAGTCTCTGTGGCTCAGTGACAGCAGGAATCACATCCAAGTAGGGGTGCGACGATTATTCGACTTAGTCGACTAAAATCAACCATATTAGTTAGCAACTAATTTAATAGTTGATTAGTTGGTGACGTCATTATGCGCCTTTCTCACACTCACAAGGAATGTTTTGACATTGCCGCTTAGCGGAGAGTTGACCAAAGTGCGATGGCAGCTTTAATCTTGAAAAGTGTGGGAGCATTTCAAACAAAAACTAAACTCTTTGGTTTCAAATTTTGACAGGAAAAAGATATCAGAGGTTTATTTATCTTTTGTATTAACAAGAAAGTTCATTAAAACAGGGACTTTTTAAGAAGTTATTCATCTTTATTGTCTTCATTGTTAGTTAGCAAATGTATGAAACAACCTCAACCTAAATTTAAAAGCTGATAGCTACATAAGAGTTATTTGGTAATTGATCATTCATTATTCATAAGTCTCAGTAATCACATTAGTTGTTTGTTGCAGACAGTTCACACTGTCCAAATGGCTCAGTCCATGCTACGTGTAACGCAACCTCTACAGACAGCTCTGTCTATGAACAATTCCAAACACGCCGAGTACTAAGCAGAAATGCTGGGATACTGAGCAGCGCTGCTAACACTGTGTACTGAAGCTAAAACCAGGCTATGGTGTAAACAGTAGGACAATACGGTCTCTCTGCGACCTATTTTACCAAACAATTCACCGTTTATACCTCGCTATTCTATTCAGTCATACTAAATTTACATATACAGACTTTGATAGCAAATGTCAACTTTTTTCACCTTGTCTCTACCTGTATTGGGGAAGCAGTTGACATTGTATGTTTACAATAGGCTAAAATCACACACTGTAGATCTGGCAGGAATCTGCCAAGGCGGAGTGTTTAAAGTGACCAATGACTTTGTGTCGGACGACACTGAGTGAGTAACACTTTCCTATGTAAGCAGAGCCTCATTCACTGTGTTTGTTCATTAGCGCAGCAATGTACACTCTTACATCACACAATATCAACAGATATTGGAATGTTGGTATTGGTGAATATTTATGAGTGTGAATAAACGAGCACAGTATTGGACTGATACCTGATACTAGTGTCAGTATCGCTGCAACGCTAGTTCTAACTTATCAAATGTCAGAAAGAAGTATTGAGACATGACATTTTGCCATATCGCTCACCTCTAATTGCAGAGGCTAATATTATAATAATTATCAACAGAAGATACATTGTGCAGCTTTACCAGAAATCTTCCTTCTTTTAATTTATTGAACTCTCTCAATATGCATATATATGCCTCAGTGCAAGCTAACTGGGATCAGGTAACTTTGAGTTGATGCTGACTAGTTTTTCATTGTTAGCTAAAATATTCTTTTAATATATCCATCAGCTCCACTGCTTCCATACAAGAGTCTCAAAATGAGCCCCCTGTGAAGAAACCAAGTAAGGCAGGACCACTGCAAGGAAATGACATGGAAGAGATGGAGCATCAGCCAGCATTCAGCCATTGTGTTGACCAAGAGCCGGGGACACCACGACCTCTCCACATAGTCTGGCCCCATCGCTGGTAAGTACTTGGTTATCCTCGTCCACCTGTGGAGAGAAACTGAAATGAAATACTACTACCTTTCCAGCTGTTTGGTCTAAATTAGAGATAGAGGTATAACTATTCCTATTATTCAGATGTTCTCATTTTTAAATAAATAATACTTGTATATCGTAAGTACAAATTATTTAATAAAAATGTTTTTGAAATATTTTCATTCACTCCACTTAGATGTGGCTGTTTGGCTTAACGTCAGAAGCTTTGATAGCTGCTTGTATCCTGGCGTTCCATATCACATGCTCAGTCAGAAACCCAATTAAAATTATAGGTAATACACAGTTTATTTCATTTTTTCAAGTATTCGAGTAACCACAAATGTGTATCCTTGTTTTACACTGGACTTCGGCCTTACAAGCCAGACTTCTGCCAAAGAGTCTGGAAAGTGTTGTGGCTCAACATGGCAAAGAACCACCTATTGTGATGAGAAAGGACATTTTGAGCAACATGGAAAATGATCAACCTCAGATTGTTGGTTTTGAGCAACGAGTTTGGGGTAAGCATTTGTCAGAATGGTGCTACAACAAAAACACCCGTGTGAAACAAATTAGTGTGCATCAGCATAAATATGAGGATAAATGAGACTCGTAACTTGTGATGCCATGGACTCCACAAACCTTTTTTCAGTCTACCAATTATATTCCATTCAAATGGATTTGTATTTTCAGAAATGTGCGTAAAGCTTTTTAGAAATCCAGGTCTAAGGCCATAGTGAAGAAGCCAAGGGCAACACTGGCAGAGAAAACTCCCTGAGAGCAAGAGATAGATGCTAAGATTCTCATGGAGAAGTCATCCTCCTGTGTTTGACGCCAAGTAGCAAAGCAATAACAAAAGCATTGAGAGGTTATATGAATTATGTAACCAATGAAGCCGCAAACTACTGTTGCCTATCAAAGATTATCTATAAGGATTGAGATTTATATCTTTGACTGCCATATGGATAACTATTATATCTTACTCTGAAAGGCGTGTTGTTATGGTGCGCAAAGCGGAACTTTGCTTGAAAAAGTTTATTTACGTTGAGAATAAAATGGTGATGAAAGCAGTGCATGGTAGTGCAGACAGATGGACACGCAGATAGCCAGTGAGAGTTTATCTGACAAAATTTGAATAGTTGTGGCCATCATACACTCTCAGAAAAAAGGTATGAAACTCTCTCTAGGCAGGACCTCTCTTGTCACTGGGGTGGAACCCTCAAGGGTACATCTCAGTACCTTTAGTCAAAGAATATAATTGTACCATAATCTATTGAAATTATATTCCACACACCCCGTCTCGTCTCCAGGCTTTTTTTTATTGTTCTGTTTTAAAACATTCGGTTATGAAAAGGTACAAATATGTATTTTTTCACTGGGAACAACTTATTTAAGGTTCAAAATTGGGCCTTAAAACCACTGTTGTACCTTTTGAGGGAAAATTTACGTTGTTTGCACTTTGAAGGATAAAAAATCTACCAGCACAGAACCTTTATTTCTAACAGTGTAGCGCATGCTAAATATCTGTCCCTGTACCTCAGTGGGCGGAGCATCTGGGGCTGAGACTAGGTTGCTTAATGTTGGCAGGAAATGCATTCTGAAGGGCATAAAGTGCAAATGACAAACCGTTTTCATGGTAAATGTGCTCAGCAGCGGCGTATCCGACTGTGTTTAGTGCTGTCAGCATCGGAACACTCCTTGTTTTTCAAACAGAGATGGTTTTGGGTTTGCAGAGCCCATCATTACCTCACTTGCTTACTCGTGTCCACTGCTCCCGGCATGGCACGGAGCTGCATCAAACAAAGCAGTCACGCACATCTTTATCCACAAACCATGTTGTTCAACTGGGCCCCAACAAAGGCGACCTGAAAGTACCTCAAACAACAACAACCTGTGCACGGCCAGCCTCGCGCGAGTTATTTGCTTTGGATCATCCGCATTTTGTTTGACAGCAGGGCTGGGGCATGGAAAATGGATAACACGCATGTTTTGGCACAACATGACGAAACGTGCACCGAAGGACCGTTGGTTCCATTCTAAGCAGATAGTTTTGGATCCATCCTGCTGGACTCTTGTACACAGCACTTTTTTTTTTCCATTTCACTGAGGCTCTTCTTGATCATTCCTGGCAGAAGACACTTAAAACATCATGTCAGTGACAGTGCAACAAGGGTTAGATGCACTGTTTGTGTAAAGTTTGCTGTGGCATTAAAGTTTTAACCTTTGCAAGTTGTCATTATTGCCAGTCATAACAAAAGAATTCTGTAATTTAATGTACATTTTCTCTCACTTGTAGCTTATTGAAATAATCTGACAGTGTGAGCTGAAATCTTTCAATCAGTACCATATTTTTGTTTGCAAGTGAAGGTATTTTATTATGGTTTGAATTTGATGGAAAGTTATTGTCTTGTTTTGAAGAAAGAAAACAATCATTTACATTTTTACATGTGTTTGTCATTTATTGAAGCTGGATTAAAGTCAGAATTGCAGCCCCAAATCTGGCAACACAGAATGTAAAACAAATGTAAATGTAAATACTTACATAACTAACTATATACAGCACTGTGAAAAAGTCAGAGACCACTCTTTTATTTATTTACTTTCCAGTCAAAACAGTCATTAAGTAAGTCATTCATCAGGAACGAAGCAGAAAACATTGACAGAAACGTTCACAATAATAACTGAACATAATATCAACATTTTTAGTATTTGTTGTGTCCACTCTTTGCCTTTATTACAGCTTCCATTCTTTTTAGGAGACCTTCAAAGAAAACTGCAGGGATATTTTTCCACACCTCCAAAGTTCAGTCTTAGAAGTTGGTTGCATTTTCTGCTTCTCACAATCCAAGAAATCCCAAACACATTCAGTGAATTTGAGGTCTGGGGTGGTCAGTCCACACCAACCGCTATTTTGATTTGCCAAATTTCTCCCTTTTTTTTTTTTAGTAATGGCTTTGAAGGTCTTAGAAGTTGGTTGCACTTTCTGCCTCCTGCATTACAAATTTAGACTCATCAATCCATAAATTCTTGCTCCACATCTCAGATGCTCAGTTTCGTTGTTCTAGTGCAAATTTTATTTTAGTTTTTCACTTTTTTCCTTTCACTTTCCTCTTCCGACTACAAATGGATTATCATTATCTTATATCTAATCTCTTCAGAAATATCCGCTTTGGTCATTTTAGGTGTAGCTCGGGCAGCTGAGGTGAGTTTGTGTAGTTGCTTGTGTGACTGTTAGTGTCTCTTTGAACAGGAACATGGTGTCTGTAAAGGGCTTTCCAACCAACTTGTTTAAGTGAATTTTGAAAATGGAAACATAAAAACCCTGTTTGGAAAAAACAAACAAAAAGCTTCTAAATATTGGCAAAAATGTTTTTTATGCTTGGACAGGTTGGTTTGTCAGTAAAGGAGAAATTGTTGAAACAATAATTGGAACAAGAGTCATTTGTTTGGCACCGTGTCCTCTCAGAACTGTTTGCTGCAGTGGCGTCCACAGAGTTTCGGTGGCCAACAGCGAAGTGGGACAGCGACTTCAGCCCTCCTTAAATGGGCCACTGCCTGCTCCGGCCAGCGTCTCTGAACTTTTGGGGCTACGGCCATGTACAGCTGACAGAGGGTTGTCAAAACCGCTCTGTCAAGAGCTAATAAAGGTTCGAATTGCGAGTCTCATTTCGCACTGTGCTTCACAAGCATGTTGCATTATCTTCAGGAATTTGCCAAAAACAGCACTAGAAGCACAGATCATTTTCTTTTACTGACTTTTTTTTTGGAAATTTGCTTACATTTTGCAAAATGTTTGAATGGAAATCTTGCATGTGACTCCTCTGGGAGAAGAATTGGTTGGGAGGGCACAGCTGCAAGTGGTTGGTTTAAGGATTGGGTGGATGGAACAGTTAAAGTGGTAGTAAAGACACTGGCATAGACACTAAAGCAAAGAGTGGGCAAATTAAATACTGCTAGATTTTATATAGTTAGTGTTGGAGACTTTTGGGTCAAATGTTTCTGGCTTTTGTTCATTGAAATATGAATAATGTTTTGACATTTTGTTTGGAAATGAAATAAGCATAAGGATGGTTTCTGACATTTAAACAGCATTTATGAAATTACGTGTAAATAGTGCAGCAAAACAACTGTAATATCTCTGACTTTCTAAGCGCTAAAGCCTGTCGAAACGTCTCGTCCACCCCGTGACAATGGTAGAATCCGATGCCATTGAGTTGTGTTCACGGAGAGAGGAGGGGAGGGATGAGAAAATATTTTATTGCCCGCAGGACTGCTCTGTGGTTTTTTGTTGAAGCTTAAATATCTTCCACTCCCCATATTTTAGACCTCCTCTTGGCATGAATGGAAACCAAGCAGCGGTGTATCTCTGCCTCATCTGCCACGGGCTGGAGAGAAGGGAGGGGAGAAAAAGGCCGCTGCTTGAGCCACATTTTTCTCCCATGACTCTGCGCTCATCTCTTGGCGGGGACAATATGTTTCCTGACCAAGAAAGAAAAAACGAAAAGCTCGTAAATCAGATTAATGGCCGAAAAGACCACCGGTGCTGAAGTTTCAACGCTGGCATCAGGATTTGGCCGTGTTTGTTTGCGCTGTGCCTCTTGTCATTCACCTACTCTTGTATCAGTGACAAAAGCGGCCCGTTTTGTAATCTCCTCAAAACTGAGCAAAACACAGATGGATTAGCGCCGGCAACATCCGCGCTTCATAAACGCTGGCTTTGGGCCAAGTTAAATTAGGTTTTACAGCGGGCGAGAGCAACTGGTTAAAGAGAGAGAGAGAGAGCGACAAGGCGGGGGGGTGCTTGGATTATCTCTACGATTTGAGTCGCTGACAGTGTGTCCCATTTCCCCCCACCCTCCCTTTTTCCCCCCTCTAGCATCCTTTTTTACCGTTTTGGTCCTCATCACTGGTTGCAGATTGTTAATCTGTTTGTGGCCTGGATAGGCGTTCATCCGCCGGATTACAGGACCGTCTTATTGCAGGCGCTGA